ACATGGAACATGGAACATGGAACATGGAACATGGAACATGGAACATGGAACATGGAACATGGAACATGGAACATGGAACATGGAACATGGAACATGGAACATGGAACATGGAACATGGAACATGGAACATGGAACATGGAACATGGAACATGGAACATGGAACATGGCACATGGCACATGGCACACGGAACATGGAACATGGAACATGGAACTGGAACATGGCACATGGAACATGGCACACGGAACATGGCACACGGAACATGGAACATGGCACATGGAACATGGCACACGGAACATGTCACACGGAACATGGCACATGGCACATGGAACATGGAACATGGCACATGGAACTGGAACATGGCACATGGAACATGGCACACGGAACATGGAACATGGAACATGGAACATGGAACATGGAACATGGAACATGGAACATGGAACATGGAACATGGAACATGGAACATGGAACATGGAACATGGAACATGGCACACGGAACATGGCACACGGAACATGGCACACGGAACATGGCACATGGAACATGGAACATGGAACATGGAACATGGAACATGGAACATGGAACATGGAACATGGCACATGGAACATGGAACATGGAACATGGAACATGGAACATGGAACATGGAACATGGAACATGGAACATGGAACATGGAACATGGAACATGGAACATGGAACATGGAACATGGCACACGGAACATGGCACACGGAACATGGCACATGGAACATGGAACATGGAACATGGAACATGGAACATGGAACATGGCACACGGAACATGGAACATGGAACATGGAACTGGAACATGGCACATGGAACATGGCACACGGAACATGGCACACGGAACATGGAACATGGCACATGGAACATGGCACACGGAACATGTCACACGGAACATGGCACATGGCACATGGCACACGGAACATGGAACATGGCACACGGAACATGGAAGATGGAACGTGGCACACGGAACATGGCACATGGCACATGGCACACGGAACATGGCACATGGAACATGGAACATGGAACATGGAACATGGAACATGGAACATGGAACATGGAACATGGAACATGGAACATGGAACATGGAACATGGAACATGGAACATGGAACATGGAACATGGCACATGGCACATGGAACATGGCACATGGCACATGGCACACGGAACATGGAACATGGAACATGGAACATGGAACATGGAACATGGAACATGGAACATGGAACATGGAACATGGAACATGGAACATGGAACATGGAACATGGAACATGGAACATGGAACATGGAACATGGCACATGGCACATGGCACATGGCACATGGCACATGGCACATGGCACATGGCACATGGCACATGGCACATGGCACATGGCACATGGCACATGGCACACGGAACATGGCACACGGAACATGGCACACGGAACATGGAACATGGCACATGGAACATGGAACATGGAACATGGAACAGGGAACATGGAACATGGCACATGGAACATGGCACACGGAACATGGAACATGGAACATGGCACACGGAACATGGCACATGGAACATGGCACACGGAACATGGCACACGGAACATGGCACACGGAACATGGAACATGGAACATGGCACACGGAACACGGAACATGGAACATGGAACATGGAACATGGAACATGGAACAGGGAACATGGAACATGGCACATGGAACATGGCACATGGCACACGGAACATGGCACATGGAACATGGCACACGGAACATGGCACACGGAACATGGCACACGGAACATGGAACATGGAACATGGCACACGGAACACGGAACATGGAACATGGAACGTGGCACACGGAACATGGAACACGGAACATGGAACATGGCACACGGAACATGGCACATGGCACACGGAACATGGAACATGGCACACGGAACATGGCACACGGAACATGGAACATGGCACACGGAACATGGCACATGGCACACGGAACATGGCACACGGAACATGGCACATGGCACACGGAACATGGCACACGGAACATGGAACATGGCACATGGCACATGGCACATGGCACATGGCACACGGAACATGGAACATGGCACACGGAACATGGAACATGGAACGTGGCACACGGAACATGGCACATGGCGCATGGCACATGGCACATGGCACATGGCACACGGAACATGGAACATGGAACATGGCACACGGAACATGGCACACGGAACATGGAACATGGAACATGGAACATGGAACATGGAACATGGAACATGGAACATGGAACATGGCACATGGCACATGGCACACGGAACATGGAACATGGCACACGGAACATGGAACATGGAACGTGGCACACGGAACATGGCACATGGCACATGGCACACGGAACATGGCACATGGAACATGGCACATGGAACATGGAACATGGAACATGGAACATGGAACATGGAACATGGAACATGGAACATGGAACATGGAACATGGAACATGGAACATGGAACATGGAACATGGAACATGGAACATGGAACATGGAACATGGAACATGGAACATGGAACATGGAACATGGAACATGGAACATGGAACATGGAACATGGAACATGGAACATGGAACATGGAACATGGAACACGGACATGGCACATGGCACAGGACATGGCACATGGCACATGGCACATGGCATCACATGGCACATGGCACATGGCACATGGCACATGGCACATGGCACATGGCACATGGCACATGGCACATGGCACATGGCACATGGCACATGGCACATGGCACATGGCACATGGCACATGGCACATGGCACATGGCACATGGCACATGGCACATGGCACATGGCACATGGCACATGGCACATGGCACATGGCACATGGCACATGGCACATGGCACATGGCACATGGCACATGGCACATGGCACATGGCACATGGCACATGGCACATGGCACATGGCACATGGCACATGGCACATGGCACATGGCACATGGCACATGGCACATGGCACATGGCACATGGCACATGGCACATGGCACATGGCACATGGCACATGGCACATGGCACATGGCAATGGCACATGGCACATGGCACATGGCACATGGCACATGGCACATGGCACATGGCACATGGCACATGGCACATGGCACATGGCACATGGCACATGGCACATGGCACATGGCACATGGCACATGGCACATGGCACATGGCACATGGCACATGGCACATGGCACATGGCACATGGCACATGGCACATGGCACATGGCACATGGCACATGGCACATGGCACATGGCACATGGCACATGGCACATGGCACCATGGCACATGGCACATGGCACATGGCACATGGCACATGGCACATGGCACATGGCACATGGCACATGGCACATGGCACATGGCACATGGCACATGGCACATGGCACATGGCACATGGCACATGGCACATGGCACATGGCACATGGCACATGGCACATGGCACATGGCACATGGCACACATGGCACATGGCACATGGCACATGGCACATGGCACATGGCACATGGCACATGGCACATGGCACATGGCACATGGCACATGGCACATGGCACATGGCACATGGCACATGGCACATGGAACATGGAACATGGAACATGGAACATGGAACATGGAACATGGAACATGGAACATGGAACATGGAACATGGAACATGGAACATGGAACATGGAAGAGAAGAAGAATGGACATGGAACAAAGGACAGGAACATGGAACATGGAACATGGAACATGGAACATGGAACATGGAACATGGAACATGGAACATGGAACATGGAACATGGAACATGGAACATGGAACATGGAACATGGAACATGGAACATGGAACATGGAACATGGAACATGGAACATGGAACATGGAACATGGAACATGGAACATGGAACATGGAACATGGAACATGGAACATGGAACATGGAACATGGAACATGGAACATGGAACATGGAACATGGAACATGGAACATGGAACATGGAACATGGAACATGGAACATGGAACATGGAACATGGAACATGGAACATGGAACATGGAACATGGAACATGGAACATGGAACATGGAACATGGAACATGGAACATGGAACATGGAACATGGAACATGGAACATGGAACATGGAACATGGAACATGGAACATGGAACATGGAACATGGAACATGGAACATGGAACATGGAACATGGAACATGGAACATGGAACATGGAACATGGAACATGGAACATGGAACATGGAACATGGAACATGGAACATGGAACATGGAACATGGAACATGGAACATGGAACATGGAACATGGAACATGGAACATGGAACATGGAACATGGAACATGGAACATGGAACATGGAACATGGAACATGGAACATGGAACATGGAACATGGAACATGGAACATGGAACATGGAACATGGAACATGGAACATGGAACATGGAACATGGAACATGGAACATGGAACATGGAACATGGAACATGGAACATGGAACATGGAACATGGAACATGGAACATGGAACATGGAACATGGAACATGGAACATGGAACATGGAACATGGAACATGGAACATGGAACATGGCACATGGCACATGGCACATCTCGGAAACTATAAAAGCTAGAAGATTGACATTTTGCATGCAGATTCTAGGATTCCTACGCAGCGCAAGTTTGTTTCAAAAGGGTGCCACGCCCCCTTTAACGCCCACAATCGCTTATATACGATTTTAAAAATTTCAATATTTCGGAAAAGTAAAAATGCAGTTTTATTGTGTTCATTAATAACTATCGAAATGTAGAAAAATTTTTTTAAATCGGACCATTCGTTAAAAAGTTACGGCGGATCAAAGTTCTTATCTCCATCTCCTTCGCACTCCCTTTAGCAGAGTAACGGGTATCTGATAGTCGAGGCACCCGACTATAGCGTTCTCTCTTGTTTTGTTTTATATTTCTTATTTGGAAGTTCGCGGTAATATAATAGTTTGTTTTTTTTTGTAATTTCTTTATATCAAATATTATTTAAGGATTTCTGCAATCCTTCGTAATTTATTTAAAATTTCAAGCCCTCCTCTGTACATATATCACTTTTCCCCCAACGCACGGCACCGCAGACTGTTGATTATGTTGCAGATGACGTACTCGCCGCTGTCCTTGCCCCCGAACTCCTTGGTGCGGATTCCCTCGTCCATGGTGCGCAGCATCTCACCCCACAGGGAGTCGGCACACTTCTTGTGGCCCAAGTGCTCGAAGAGATCCACAATGGTGGACACAATGCCGTAGGCACTGAGGATCGAGTAGTTGGTCAGCGAGAGCTTCGTCTGCAGGGGCTTGAAAACGGCGTGGTGATCGCCAATCTCTACGGCACTAAACAAATTGGATCCGCCACAAACTCCGCTGCAGATGGCGGACAGGAAGGTGGCATAGCGATCGCTGGCGAAGAGGCAATCGAAGTAGGTGGGATTCGTGATCAGCCGGCTGATGGCCTCCTCCACCTCCATGAACTCCAGCTCCAGGCAGTCCTTGTAGTGGCAGTGCATCCGCTTGGCGGCCTCCACCATGTTGCCATCGCTAATGGGCCACTCCTTGGCCTTGTTGATCAGAGCGACCCGCTTTCTGCCCGCCTTGACGGCCGCCTTAAAGGCGTACTGCAGGTACTTCTCGTTGCTCTGCTGGTTGACGACGGACAGGGCCTCCACCACACCCTTGACGGGCGAATACTCCAGCTCGTTGTAGATGCCCATGTTGTTCTGGCCAATCATCTGGATGTCGACGCCCGGAAAGCGGCACTTGAAGCCGGGAAAGCTGCGCGTCCGGGTCTTCAGCACATACAAGTCCAGGTCGTTGCAGATCTTTAGAGCCTTCTGCTTGGCCTCCGAGTCGGCCTGGTTGTCCACATGAACGGCGGTCCTGTTCCGCAGCACCGAGTTGAAGTACTCATCGTCCTGGCCCGCCTCGATTATCTGCACCTCCACGGGCACCCGGCTGCTCTGGAGCAGCGAGGTCACAAAGTGGGCTCCCTGCTGGCCAATCATCGTGCTGCCCGTGAGCAGGGAGACCGTGTTGATTCCCCCGTACTTGGATTTGGGCAGCACGTGGACGGGATCAAGTCGCGTGTCTCCCTTGACGAAGGACGCTCGCACGCTGCTGTTTATGTCATCGGCGAAGTGGCGAACACTGATCTTGGCCAGCAATCGGGTCACTTTCGAGCTGCGCAACATTGTTTGGGATTTAAAGGGAGAAGGGTCCTAAAATTGTACCTGATGAGTAAAGAAGTGATATATTTCGCCTTGCAACATGATCGGCTAAGGATCACTTCCATTTAAATGGAAAAAATCTAGATCGATTTTACATTATTTAAGATCAATTTTAGTTTGATATGCGGCCAGGTAAATTTCATGTAAAAAATATATTGGTTTTGCATGACCTGAAATTTAAATGGCCATATCGATTTTACGGGAAGACGCTATTTTTATTTGTAGTCTCAAAAATACAGTATATTTTTATGATATTCCAGAATATTAAAATATCCTGGGATACACAAAAAAACCCATACAATTTTCGAAAAAAAGCTTTTCCCTTTTAGGACTTTAAATTGCAGACCAATCAGTTTAAGTAGATATAAAAAATTGGTAGACAAAAGAAAAAATGTTTTTTATTTCAAATATTTTTAATACAAATGTTTTATTAAATGGCATTTTCAATAAAAATTAAACCTATTGACCTAATTACTCTTCTAACCCGAAATTTTTATTGGTCCCCTATTGAATAACCCAAAACTGCCCAGGATTACATGTCGTAGCAAAGCGATTTGTTGGGACAGGGACAGCCATCTATGCCGTAGCGCCCAATCGGGATGTCCGTCTGGGTCTCCTTGTGCTGGGGTCCTGGCACCTCGAACAATTTCTCACTGAAGTACCGATCCGGTAGGTAGTACATGGGGTACTCGGCCCTCAGCCTCTCGTGGTCGTCCCGCAGCCACTGGGCCAACTCGGGAGCGGCTCGTCGGGCCTCCAGGCGGTACTGCTTCGGTTTGGCCATCCGAAGCGGAACCTCCAGGTGCAGTTTCGAGTGGGGTATGTAGGACAACAGCTCGCGGTCCAGTTTTACCGCCTGCTCCGCCCGGATCTTGGCGCATGTGGCGCACTTGCACTTGCCGCCATGGTAGCAGTACCGCTTCCGCCCATCCTCGTCCACCATCAGCAGCGGCACGCAGATGGGCGACGCCACCGGCTGGGCCTCCGTTTGCGTAGCCACCGACTCCTGGGCGGGATCGGAATACATCGTGGGATTGATCAGTGGAGTCGTGCTCGGATTCGGTGCGGTACGAAAGATTTGGATTACGAAATGAGACTGAAATGCTCAGTGGGATAGCAGCAAAGGCATCGCTTGCTTGATATAGAATTTTTAAAATCTGTTTAGTACAATGATTAGGGATCACACATAGATGGAACCACCTCCACCGCCTCCACAACTCAGTGCTGAGTGCGGATAGGCCACGGAGGAGGTCCACAACCAAGTGAGATCCCTGTACCGATCATAATTTTTACTTCGCCTCAAGTTCTTATCTCCCGTGCAGTAAATGTTCTGGGCGAGATCCTTCTTATCTCGCTTGGGCAGACCACAATCGGAACACAAATGGGACACTTTTTTATATCTTTGTTCAGCCCTCATCCGTAGATAGTAAGATTTTAGCTCCCGCTCTTTCACCTCATTGAAAAACTCCCGCATATGCGGAGAGTCCTGGACAACTGGCTCCTTTTTGGGCCAGGAATTGGATTGCAAAGGACACTTTTCGAGCGTTTGGGAATTCTTGGGCTCTTTCAACTGCCCCGAACGGTTGCTCAACCTCTTGCTTCTCCGAGAAGCGGAGGACATGTTGGAAATGTTATCCAATTCCGAGATCCTGATCGCAGCATTTGACTTCTTCTTGAATTCTTTGGGGGCTGTGCTGAGCACCCCGCTGCGCTCTGATCCTTCCGTGAACTTTCGAACATAGGTGTTGGCCCTGGTCATCGACCCGGTCGATTTCAATAAATACCAGTTGAGAGGCATCTTTTTCGTGATCTGCAGTCAATCCGCAACGGTCTAAAACATGGATTGTAGTCCAAAACACAAAATTTTGACAAACGTTCTCTGGCAAGCTTAGGTAAAGAAAAAATTGTATATTTTTAAAAGGCACAAAATATTTTAGAATTTAAATTCAAAATAAGGTAAAGTTTTAAAATAAAATCTTTAAAAATGTATTAAAATAATGAAAATGTATCAGCATGACTGTTAATCAACATTAAAACACTCTTAATTATCAAAAAGCTTCCAATATCGCTCTTGCTGAAATTCAATTGATTTTTTTGTAATCTCTGACCGAGCGTGAGCTTTTCGAGCGTACAAATTGGACTGTAAGTACATGCACTTGCTCATTCATTTGCCGGAAGCAACGCGGTTCGGATCGTTCTAGAGCACAGTATATAGATAAAATGGAAAAGATCGAGGCGGAAACCCAGTGGCTGCGGTTCACGATTCTTCCAAAGATTTTAAAAAGTGGGCGACTGGTGGACAACTACAGCGATTCCAAGGATGACACCTTTGTAATTAGAGATATCGATGTCGATGTGATTGGTCATTCTGAGGCCTTTATGCTGACATTTTGCTACAGGACTACCATCAACTTTGAATATGACGGGGAGAAGTATCAGCGAAAAATGGTCGTTAAGGTAGAGAAATTCAATAGTATTATTAAAAGTAATTAAATATGATAGGTGATGGAAATCCAAACAAAAAATGGTGTTCAACATGCGGAACGCAAGTCACGAAATTAAAAAGCATTTTGCGCTGTGCACACCCCTATTTAAAGTACATAGTATATGTTTATTTCCGTAACTGCGTTCTACGGATAAACAAGCTTAAAAGATATATGCCAGTTTGGTTGCCCAGCAAACAATGATAAGTCCGCCATGTGAAGAGGTTCAATGCATCTTTGGCAAACATGGTGAAATAGAGAAAATGCCTTGTCTTTGCTGTGGCTGCCTTATCAAGCCAGCTGTAGATCAAAACTAATTGGCTGATAACGATTTTTAATCTCTTATAGATTACCAAACTACAACTAAGAATGAATTTTTGTTTTCTAACGCACAAACGACCCCCAAAAAAAAACTATAATAAATATTAATTGTTGTTTTTTGTAGAAAACCCCTATGATGCCCCCAGAAGTTTATGAGTCCATTCAGTTTGGAGCTCTCTTCAGCAACGAGATCAACTTCTACACGGAAATTCTGCCAGAAATACAGAAGTTGGCCGGAGGAAAGTTTGCCGCACCCAAGTATTATTACAGTGAGTTGAATCAGTATTCGGCGGTGGCCATTCTGGAAAACTTCGCGGAGCAGGGATGGCGGGTGACCAAGGATCGGGTGGGTCTCAGTCTGGAACACGCCTTGATCGCCGTGGATTATCTGGGCAAGTTCCATGGCTTTGCCTACGCCATGAAGCACAAGAGTCCCGAGAAGTTCTCCCAGCTGACCGAGCAGCTGAAGGAATCTCGTTATGCCAGCGATGTCATTCATCCGGAGTGGGCACTCATCATGAAGACGAGCAACGAGCGGACAGCCAAGGCGGTGGCCAAATTTCAGCCGCAGATTGACGAGGAATTTGTGAAGAAGCTGGGCTTCCTGATCGCCGACTATAACCTGTATGGGCGCCAAAGGGTAGCACCGAGAGAACCACTGGCCACCCTTTGCCATGGAGACTATGTGAGGAATAACGTGGCCTACAGGTATAACAATCAGGAGGTGCCGCAGGAGATCATGATGTTCGACTACCAGACTCTTCGTGTCTCTTCTCCCATGATCGATCTCGCGGTCTTCCTGGCCGTATCCACCTATGCCGATGTGCGCTATCCCAATTTTGATAAAATCTTCGATGAATATTGCTCGGCGCTGTATGACAGTTATAGGTTGAATGCCAAGGCGGAGGTTCCCGAGTCCATGAGGTGAGCATTTAAATTTTAAAGATACATTTTAATATCACATCTAACTGTAAAACAAAAAAGTTCTTAAAAAAAAGTTTATTTAAAAAATACGTACTAAGATTAGAAAAAATTTACCTCGGAGTTCATAAAAAACTTAATAGATTCTGTAATAAGGGATTTTTTGGTTGTAATTTAAACCAGTAGTACTCAAAACCTGATAGTTATAGTTACATTTATAGTTCGAAATGATAAGATATCTAATACATTCTTTATCTTTCAGTCGGGAGGAGCTTCTCAAGGAGTATGTGCGATTCCTGCCCTATAGCGTGTCCATTTCGGGCAGCTTCCTGATGACTTTAGTGGAGCCATTGGACATGTCACCGGAGGAGATGTTTGCCGCCCAGCTGACGGATCAGGAGATCATCGACCGAACAATGAATCAGGGAGGGGAAATTGTGGATAAGGAGGTTGCCCACCAGGTTAAGGAAATGCTGGAGCTGAGCCAACTGACTGGTGTCTCCATAGACGACGGCATCAATTTGAACAAGTTGCAGAAAGTGTAAAGATTTCGATAGAGTAATTGTAGATAAAAGAAAACTAATCAAACACTTTAAATGACCTGCATTATTTATGTGGTGTTGAGGGAAAAAAGACTTAAAATCGATTTTAGCCATGACTACAACATTTTCAGTGGTGATTGGGGAGTACATTCCAAAATTTAGGCCATTTAAAGCGTTCAATCTTATCAGTTCGATTTTTTCAAAATGTTTTCTTATCAGCAATGTTTTGATCGCCTGCCGCCACAGCTGATTGCGGCGGGGCTGCCAACCTATTTAAATTTGAAGCTGTCAGCTGTCAATTCTCTTGTGTTAAAATATATGTAGTAGCCAAAAAATGTTTCAACCTTCGCGGCAACAAATTCTGCGTTTGTACAAGCATTTAATTCGTTACGGCAACCACTTGAAGCTAACGGACAAGAACTACTTTTTGGGCAGAGTGCGGCACGAGTTCCGGGACAACCGGTCCCTCACCAATCCTGCGGAGGTGGAGTTCAGTTTCAAGGTAATTAAAATACTTTCCCCGGTATTTCATAACAGATTCAGAGATTCCCTATATTTCAGCGCGGAGAGACCCTGCTTAAGAAGGGGCGCATCCTGTAGGAATGCTGCGAGGTCTGGTGCGATTCCTAGCGCTTCCTCCGACAACTGTGCGCTGCAAATCCACCGCCAACCTGGACTACTCCCGCTTTCCCACTCTCCAGGAGTCCGAGATCGAGGAGACATTCATGCGCGGCAGTGGTCCCGGTGGCCAGGCGGTGAACAAGACCTCGAACTGCGTGTTCCTCCGCCACCTGCCCACCAACATCACCATCAAGTGTCACACCCATCGATTGGCTTCGAAAAACCGAGTGGAGGCCAGGAAACTCCTGCTCGAGAAACTGGATGTCCATCTGAATGGGGAGCATTCGATTGTGGCGCAAATCAAGGCCCAGGAGCAGAGAAAGTCCACAGAGCGGCGGCGGCGTCAGGGAAAACTGCAGGAAATGAAGAAAAGCTGGCAGGAGAGAGAACGCACAGATGGGGGAAGCGAATCCACAGATAAATAGTCAAATATGATCAGTTTTATACAAACATACAATCTCTTAAACGTTTATTTTCGAATGGGCTACGGCTACCAACTGGAAAAGTTTCCAAAACCATTAGCCAGTTTCTTTTTCTTGGCTGCCTGCGCGGTGGGTAGCGACGCCTCCGGCTTCTTTGCCACCGCCTGAAGCTTCAGGTACTTTCCCACGCCTTCCCTGTACACCTTCAGCGGTTCCTTCATGCGCTTTTGCTGCTCCTCCTTCTTCACCGTCTCCTCCTTGCTGGCCGCCTCCTCCTCCCGCTCCTTGGCCAGCTGCTCAGTAGCCTCGGCGAAGGGATTCACAAAGACCTGTGAGGTCTCAATGATAATATCCTCAATTGGTCTGTCCTTGTTGTCCACCTCGATGTTCTCCATTTTCTGCAGTGTGTCCAAGCCGCCGACAAGCTTACCGAAGATTGTGTGCTTGCCATCGAGATGTTTGCAGGAGCGGTAGGTTATAAAGCTGTAGAATACTCAAAAGATTAGAAGAGGCAATGGATAAAAGAATCCTTGACTACTTACAACTGGGAACCATTGGTATTGGGACCCGAATTGGCCATGGAAAGCACACCTCTTCCCGTGTGCGTAAGATTGGGCTTAAACTCGTCCTCGAACTTCTTGCCCCAAATGGATTCGCCGCCGGAACCACTGCCTGTGGGATCACCACCTTGCACCTGAAGGATAACAAATTATTAACAAAATTATAAAGCATAAAAACAGAGAGAACTTACTATAAAATTCCTTATGGATCGGTGAAACATAACATTATTGTAGTAGCCAGTGGCACAGTGCTTAATAAAATTGTCGCAGGCTCGGGGAGTTTGATCGCAAAAGAGTTCCAGGTTAAGAGGGCCAAAGTTGGTATTCAAGCGAACGTAGCCCTTCTTCTTAACCCGCTCGTACTTCACCAGATCGTCGTCTATAATGGCCGCCTCCACTTGGGACACGGGCACCATGGCGGTGGATGTGAAACTGGCGGCCACCGCTCCAGTTGAGTAATGGGCCGCATTGAACTTGTCGGCTGTGCGCTTGGAAGTCGAGGGCTCCTCCTCCGCCGGCTGGTAGTCCTGCTGGAGCTGTGCCAGCGTCTCCTTGGTCTCCAGATTCATGGTCTTAATGCGCCCGCTGGCTGGATTCTTCCTCTCCAGCTGCTCCTCTTCGCTCAGCACACGCAGGTTCTTCTTGATGTGATGGAAGGTGGAGATGTCGTACTTCTCCAGCTTCTGGGGATCCTGTATGGTTATGATGTCCTTGCGCTGAAAGGGCGTGTCGTCCACCAGATCCTTCCAGTTCTTCGTCTTGATGTTCAGCTGGTCGATGGCCTCCCAGCAGTAGACATTTCCCGTGGTGGCCACCGCCACGATGTGCGAGTTCTTGCTGAAGGGCTTGAACAACGCCGGGCAGTGGTACTCATCATTGGCGTTGCGGTGGAAGGTCAGCTTGATCAGGGACTTGGAGTCCATCTTCTGCCCGTTGATGGGATTCACCTTGAAGGTCTTGAGGAACTTCAGGATGGCCTCGTACTCGAACACATTGCCCTGCAGGTCGCAGTAGGGCATCTCGAAGGGCGCCATGGTGATGCAGCAGTGCTCGAAGGGAAGCCGCTTGAACTTGACATGGTTGTTCTCCGCAGATTCCGTCTTTTTCCCGCCGTAGAACTCACTCCACTCGGTGTACGTGAGGTACCTGTAGCGGTAAGGGGACAACTTGAACTCTACCGCTTTCTGAAGGTATTGTAGGCACTTACATTTTGTCCTTTTGATGCTGTCGTTTACCCATCTTGGCTGTTTTTAATTAAAATTGGTTGAAAACAATTAAGAACCGACTAATATTTGTTTACAAATGCAAGATGGGACTGCCAACTCGTGTTCAGACTATCTTTTGTGAAGTTTTAGGCGGTTCACACTGTGTGCATCTTGCAAAGCAGCTGAAAAATGGCATTACTCACTTCTCCGTTTAATTGAATGGAAAAAATAAACAAAATATCTATATTAAAGTTTTAAAATTTCATAAGTGACTAAAATTATTCTTAATTATTTATTAATTTTATTATAGTTCATTGATTTCCAATTAAATCCCTTTTGCTATTTTACAAACTTGAATTTTTCTTCATTTAAATTAAATTACTATTATAAGGTTTCTAACTAATTTTTACCACAAAAGGGCCTCCTTACTACAGTGACAGTGTGAACGCTCTGCAGCAAACACTGCACCTGCACTCCTACCCGATACTCACCCCCTACTTAGACGCTGACCAACACTATGTAAAATCAGCTGTTCGCTGCGAAGGCTCAGCAGAATCAAACAACAAAGAATTTTCCAACTTATACTATACGGCGATATAAATAGGCAGCACAATTGACCTTGACGTTGGGCGATGTCTAGCCCCCACATCAACTACCGCTCCCTGGCCGAGGAGGCGGCCAGTCCGTTCCTGGAGCACACATCCTCTGCGGGCCAAGGCCCAGCGAACAAAACACAAGACGCAAAAGCGAACGCAGCTGCTGCGCATTTAGACCCCCTGGGTGAGCACGGAATGGAGCAGCCGCTGGAGGAGCTCGACACCGAGCACGAGGGCGAGGACACGCCCCGGAACAGTGGCGTCATGATCCACATGGTCCCGGAGACGGGGCGGGCGCGTTGGAACCACATCGAGAACCTGGACTCGTTCTTCTCGCGGATGTACCAGTACCAGCAGAAGCACGGATTCACTGTGATCGTGGTCGACGAGATGCTGCAGGTCCTGGAATTCGGCTTCGTCGTCTGGCTCCTGGCCGTCGTGATGCACTGCGTCCGCTTCGACGTGCTGTTTGGGGATGCCCCGCCCGGCGGAGCCAATCCCAACAAGACGACGCTCGCCGATGTGATGGTCCCGACGGGCGAGTGCCTGGCCAGCTTCAACTGGTTCACCTACCTGGTTGTGTTCATTGCCGCCATCTATCTGGGCATCCGGCTGCTGAAGATGGTCTACCATATCACCCAGTACGCCGATATCAGGCGCTTCTACAACTCGGCGCTTCACATCGAGGACTCCGATCTGGACAACTTCACGTGGCACGAGGTGCAGCAGCGCATCCGTCGCGTCCAGGCCGAGCAGCACATGTGCATCGACAAGGAGTCGCTCACGGAGCTGGACATCTACCACCGGGTGCTGCGCTTCAAGAACTACCTGGTGGCCCTGATGAACAAGCAGCTGCTGCCGGTGAGGTTCCACATACCGCTGTACGGCGAAGTGGTCTCGCTGAGTCGCGGTATGTTGTTCAACATCGACTTCATCCTGTTCCGCGGGCCGGGATCTCCGTTCCAGAACAACTGGCAGCTGCGCGATGAGTTTGCGGTGAGGAGCAATCAAACGGAGCTGGCGCAGCGCCTCTCGAAGCTGATCTTGGGCGTGGCGTTGCTCAATTTGCTGCTGGCGCCTGTGATCTTCGTGTGGCAGCTCATCTACTTTAGTTTCTCCTACGCGAACATCCTGCGCAAGGAGCCAGGGGCGCTGGGACTGCGCACCTGGTCGAACTATGGACGCCTCTACCTGCGGCACTTCAACGAGCTGGATCACGAGCTAGATGCCCGGCTGAATCGGGCCTACGACTATGCGGACCGCTACCTCAACTCCTTTTCCTCGCCACTAGCCGCTGTGATAGCCAAGAACCTGCTGTTCATCAGCGGAGGCCTGCTGCTGCTCATCCTGGGATTGGGCATTTACGAGGAGCACGTCTTCCAGGTGGAGCACCTGCTGTTCATCAGTGCCGGACTCGGAGCCATTGGTGTGGTCTGCAGAACGCTCATTCCCGATGAGAACCTCATTTGGTGCCCGGAGCAGCTGATGACCGCCATTCTGGCGCACGTCCACTATTTGCCCAACGAGTGGCGACAGCAGGCGCACACGGCTCGCGTTCGCCAGGAGTTCAGCAACTTCTTCCAGTTCAAGGCCGGCTACCTGCTGAGCGAGATTTTCAGTCCGTTCGTCACGCCCTTTGTGCTGATCTTTGTGTTCAGGCCAAAGGCCATTGAGCTGGTGCGCTTCTTCAGGACGTTCACCGTCTCCGTGCGCGGCGTGGGCAATGTCTGCTCGTTCGCACAGATGGATGTGCGCAAGCACGGCAATCCCGACTGGCAGCTGACCAGCGAGCTGGAGGAGATGACGCGGCCAGCAGGCCAACAGCCGCAGCCGCAGCAGCAGCAGCAGCAGAGTTTGACCGGCGGCAAGACGGAGATGTCGCTGGTGCGCTTCACGCTCAACAATCCCGAGTGGCAGATGCCCAAGGAGGCCAAGCAGTTCCTGCGCGGCGTCCGGGAGCACGCCGTCGGTGAGTTGGTCCAGGCCAAGACGTCGATGGTGCAGGAGAACCCGCTGACCAACAGCCTCATCTCGTTTGGGACCATGGGAGCGGAGTACTGTTCCCTTGCCAACTCGGTGCTGACTGCCCAGGTGACGCCGCAGCAATTGGAGATCTCACAGTCGCTGCGCCCTGGACTGGGACCCGTGTCCGGTGTGGGATTCCCCGTCGCGGCCAGCGACTTCCGTCAGATGCTGCAGCAGAACCTCTCGGCCAGCGTGGGGCCGCTGGACAGCATGCGTCGCCTGCGCCTCAGCCGCGCCGAGGGCCGCCTGGAAGGTCCGTCGGAGACGCTGCTCTACGGACTGTGCGGCATGGATCCGCGCGTGGGCAGCAGCCCTTTGGGCGTGGGCGTGGCCGACATGTGCCTGAGTGCTCTGTATCTGCACGAGCTGAACCAGCAGAAGCGACAGGCGCGTCAGTCGCGCATCGATGAGGCCGAGGACGAGCGTCCGGGGACGAGCCAATGGCCATCGCGGCCGCCACCGGCTGCTCCTTCGAGTGCCGCCGGCTCCCGCCATACCGTGATTACCTCAAAGGCTGCCGAGAGCACGCCGCTTTTGGGCAGCATCCGCTCATAGCAGCGGCCAGAGTGGATCTAACCACCTGTAGGGCTAAGGACCACCATTCTGCTATTAGTGATTAACCTAAGTTTTAAAGTGTGAACGAACGAGCGAGCGAACGACGTCGTCTAGTGCGTAGCTAAACTAATCTGAAATTAAGCTAAACTAAACGAGAAGCAATAAACATAACTGCATTATCAAAAATGGGATCTTTATTTTCTGCTGTTGCATGTCTATGAGGTAGGTATATTTGAAAAAGCTTATCTATTAATCTATTGCCTATTTTCACTTTAGTAAAAATACTTAAACAATTTCACAACCTTAAAGTATATCTACATATACATGAGTGGTTCTTCATGGTCTCAAAACGATATCTAATTTTTATGACAAAAAAGATTTTTAAAAAAGTTAAAAAAAAAGAATCGAAGATATGGCGATGCAATTTTTTTGTTTAATTTTTTATAATTTTAAATTACGTGGTGTAAAAAATAAATAAAAAAATAGATCCCAAAAATTATTATTCGTTTCTGTCAAATGGTTTTTTTTTAGATAAAAATAACGTTTCAGTGCAAAATATGGTCAAACTTAAGTGTATATCATTATTGAATTATTAACCCAAGTAAGCACCATAAAAATTCCGTTTTCATTGTGAAGATTATATTTAATGGGTTTGCGACTTATCCCGATCTCACCTCTCCGGGTTGTGGGAATCCCGAGATGACACCCCAGCCGGCTGATGGATGGCCCCCATTTGTAGGCATTGTTGGCACACCACATCCACCTGGACGCGAGATCCAGATGCGAGTGGACGAGGAGAACGCATCCAGCTGTGCTGCAGCGCCTCGTGTGTCACTTGCCACACACGAACGCCATTTGGCGATGGGTGTTGATGGCCAATGCGGCGAGCAGCGAACAGAGACCGAGGATCGGGTCCGAAAACAGCGGAGCGGCCAAGTGCGTACCTATGAATCTCCGAAGCCCGCAGACACCGATACACATGCAGATACCGCCGATCCCCGCCAGCTGTGGCAACATTTATGAATTATGTGCGTGCTGCATGGAGCTGGATCGCTGGATCGCTAGAGCTGGAGAGTCTTTGGATCACGTTGTCTCATTTTTCCGCTGCACGCCAATTTTGGGGGGAGCATTGCCCAACATTACACGAATGTACGAACTGAAAGACGGCCACTTGCCCGATTTGGATCCATCCTCCGAGTCTCGGAGTCCGATGGACGCTGGAGATGCAGTTGCAGTTGCATGTAGTACTAATTGTAGAGCTCGCGATATCTGATCCGGCACAGAAAGAAACGTTTTCGGTATCAGATCGGAATTCTTCACAAGTGGGAATTAAAACATTATTATTATTTCCATTTAATACAAACCTAAAATCATCAGATTTTTGATTTATAAGATATAGAACGATTTAACGGAAAAGAAGTATGTAGCTTTAAGCCTGAATAATTATACATTTCAAAAAAATATTTTAGAAATCCGTTTTTCATAAATGACATGATAGTATCATAACGATTATTATAAATTACAATAAATATTAATAGGATATCAATATATTAAAGACTTTAAAAATTGTACGAAAAGTATTTACAATTTGTTATCTTGGAAAATTCCATTATAAACCAGTAATTTGTTAATAATAGATAATTATAACCTGAAATCCCAATTATGGGTGATACATTTCGCACCGTGCAGTTAAAGGCAATAGAGTGGTGCGACGCTTGTGGCTCAAATGGAAACATTTCGCGAGCCTTGTCAAACAATCGAATTTAATTTATGATTTCCTGCGCCAATCGAGTAATGACACTGCATGTGGTAGACCTCGGCGGACCCCAAAACTCTGGATGTCTGGTGATCACTCGATACGCAATTTGGTCACAGCAGGGCCCGAAAAGACCGAATATCGGAATATATTGGAAAGGCTGAGAGGGAATGGGATTGAATATGATCGTGCGGCGACGGGAGCCACTTGCATATGCGGCTGTCTGGGATTCTGATGGCCGTGGACCACCGCGTTGCGATCGGCCAGTAAGAACCAGTTCAAGATCAGGCGTCACTTTGCGGCGCTGAGTGCCGCTGACAGTTGGATAAGGTTTCGAGTTCGACTTGGAGTTGGAATGGGAATGGGAATGAAAACCAAACTCTAGACTAGCAGCTGCCATTCCGCAATTAGAGCTGCTCCTGCAGCAGCACGTCGGCTGCTATCAAACGTGTCTCTATGTCTCCGGCCGCGACTAATGATGATGGTTCCATGTCCGTGTCCGTGCCCTTCCCCCCACAGCCGATCCCCTCCAGATTCGAGTGTGAAGCATCAGCGTCGCCTTTGATTGACAACTGATCAGCGTTTTGGAGCAGCGTTTCCCACTTTTGGAGCACGCACGTTCTCCCCGATGATAGCTTATCGATTTTTTTCATAATTAAAAAACCGGCTTGCGTTGGCTCCTTACAAATAGCCATCGCAGCCGGAGGATCGGTTTAGATTGGCCTGGGCTCGGTTCAAATGGTTTAGTCCGCAGCAGCTGGATTTGCATTGCAAATTAGAGTCGCCTGCATTTCTGCTTTCTCCCCCTGATCTTGTAATCGAGCCCCGATTCAATAAAACATTTAAACATTAAACTGCTTTTATGCAAATTGCCGGCATGCGCTTAATTTTCGATCAGCCGAGGAGTCTGGTTTTGCAGCATCCCAGCATCCGCCTGAATTATCTCCCCATCGCATGCCTGCAACACCTTACGATCTTTAGATCGCCTCCGCCTCCTCTCGACTAAAAGAAGATAGCATCTACAACGGCCGCAGATTTTACTGACTTCACCTCGACTCCCCTACAGCTCCTCCATCCTCCGTCTAATGGCAGTGGCTAAAATGCTAATCAATAGCCTTATCGCTATTAATCTCGGCTTCGATTTACCTTTTGCCCGGCTCTCTGTCGGCTACTTGTTTTTCGAGACGCGATTCCCATTCCCAATCCCCCCGGGCGGTTTTTGGGGGAAAGGCTATTGATCGGAGCTCGCTATCCATTAAACATCCAATTGCTGTTGCCTGTTTGTAAATGTTTGTTGGCTTAAATTGTGCAGCGTTTGTTTCCCAGCCATCATTACGTTAATTAACGTTGAGCATACGCCGTGTGGGTCAGCAGGATGAGGGCAAGCCGGAGATGTTAGTTACCTGGAAACGTAATTTGCATCCTACAAGGTATTTAGATTGCCCCTGAATAGTTCACATTGAAAACTTGAATCTTATCCAATTGAATTTGTTTCTTTGAAAACCCTAAAAGAAGCCTAGAAAAGATTACCAAAATAAATAACATTTCATTATTAAGGCTAGAGGTACAACAAAAAGTCGCCAAAACAAAAACTAAGAAAAAAACGTCAAAAATGTCTTTGTGTCATATGAAGTTTTTGTTTTGGAATAATTTGGAATCTGCCCTAAAACGTGAAATATTTCCTTAAGTAAATATGTATTTTTTAGGAATAATTTGGAATCAGCTTAAGAACAAAATCTTGTTGGACAAACCATTCAATGTAAAGTAAAATTTTTATTATTCTTGACTTCCATGACTAACATTATGAAGATGAAGGTTAAAGCATTCTCTCTTAAAAAAAAAGGTTAAACTCCAATATAAATGCTATTAAACCATAAGTTACAGTTATAGGTTGGCCCAATTTAACACCGCTATCGCCGCCACTCCTTCACGCAATCGCGGCACGAAGATCAGGAGGAGATTGCATTCTTCGGACTCATTAATTTGGTATAAGCCCTCCAGCTGCAGGTCACTTGGCGATCGAAGGAGGAGCGGGGATCAGGGGATCTCGGGATCTGGGGATAGGGGCCAAGTCATTGGCATATTTATGAGGCAGCCGCTCCCCACAGACGGAGCGTCGAACATGAGCCTGCCGGGCGGCAACAGTCTCCGATCTCCCATCGCCCATCTCCACCTCCCATACTCCCCATACTCCAGCCGGCAACTCCCGATCCCCTACTTTCCTGGATTATATTGGCTCCATTGGCGCGTGGGCTGGATTGCCGAGATGCTGGGATGCTGTCGCCCGAAGTGGATTTTCTGTTCAACAAGTAGTTTATGATGTTTTTGTCAATTCATGGCAAAATTAATGACGCTGCAGAAAAGCACACGCACACGGAATCTGCTGCACAGGAAGAAAATTCAGGAGGTTGATACTTGGAAATATTTTAAAGAAGGGAATTATCAATAAAATTTAAAAACTGACTTAAATTCATTATCGCTTAGAATCTGAATGTTAATAAAATGATGTTCTGATTATAATTACCTCTATTCCATTTTATAAATCTATTGTTCTCATTCTAAAGATATACTGATATCAGAACATATTTAAGTTATTGATAGTAAATTGGTTTTATTTAATACATTTTAATGTAGTTCTCTAATTGAATCAAATTAAAATTTTCAATTTAAAGGATCGTTTGGTATGTTTAAAATTTAAACTTTAAATATAATTTTAAGGTTTTTCATGACGTTCTTCGGTTATGTAGATAGTATTTTCCGCAAAAGATATAAACTATCTACAATGTTGTGAACTTGATGGCTTTTTTTGGCAAGTGTAACATTGGTCTCTGTGGCAAGGCGTTAAAAATTGTTGCCTATAAACTTAAAGAACTGCAAAGGAGTTGGCTGCCCCTCCCCCCCTTGGCACCCCGGAGTATCCCCATCCCCATCCATATTCCCCGGCTGAATCTGCATTCAGAAATGCCATTAGTCACATTTGTGGGCCACAGTCGCAGGCGCTTGTAGCCATGACTTGTAATTTTCTCCTCTTCCTCTGCGGAACCCGTTTGGATATTATTGGAAGGGGGGTTATTACGGGGATGGGGCCTTCGGGCGGCCTGCACAAATATTTCTATTGCCGTTAATGGCGTTAATAATTTTGCTGGCCAAACGCTGGTGTGGATGTGGCTGCGGGATTAGTCCGCGTCTGTCATGTTCCCGGATGACGTTACATGGCCCCAACTGACAGCCGGCAGCAGCAGCAGCAGCGAAATATGAATAAACACTCGTCTCAAGACGCAAGACTCAAGAGAACTTTGCTTTGGGCGGCGGCTAATGCGGAGTTAATTGGAAAATGCCAGCCCAGAGTGGGCAGAGCATCCCGAATCGCATCGCGGGATTAGTCGGAGCAGCAAATGGCGTATCGAATTTCCAGCTGCCCGCTGGTAGC